CACATCTACTAGAATAAAGAATAAAATCTTTGGGCAGTGTGTTTTTCGCCTGAAAAGCGCGTCATGAATATAGTCAATTTTCGCTAATTCCTCTAATTATAAGCTATAATTTCTTTTTGTATTTACTTAAATTTTTCGCGTTAAAAACATACAAAACTGTTTACTGTTTCAAATATGGCTGTTTTTGGATAGAGAGTAAGTTATAAATATGCCAGCAATTATATATGCTTGAAATTTTACGTTTATGGGTATCATTTACTACATGCATGGATATATAAACAAAAATGTATAAGAAGAGTACGGGAAAGTATATATATGTGTGCCAATTTATAGGAATGCCTAATTGAAGGAGCACTTTTTCTCATCATAGACATAGTGCAGATTTATTTTGCCACTATAAAATGAAACAAATATTTTATACATGTTTAATATTTTCATGTTTTTTAAGAACACCAATTACATGCTGATCTCGGTTAAGGTCCTGTCACACTATTGCGTATGAGAGAAACGTATGAGTAGCGTAAACCATGCATGTGCATGCATACGTCCGCATACTCGAAAAATTTTTAACCATGCTTACCTTGCATGGTTCCCCGATTTTTAAATAGACACCTTTATACGATTTAGGACAGCAACGGCTACAAATACAATAAATAATTAAAAAGAATTCAATAATTGCAATATATGAATAATTTAGACATTGTCCTCGCTTTGTTTACAACGCCAAATCACAGATTTTCACGTCTTGATACAACGGCTGCATTTCAAGCCGCAACAAGTGCAACTTCAAATTGGCTTCAGCAGAACTCTTCCCAAACATAAAACCCATTAAATTCATACGATTGTATTAAATTCATACGATTGCTAATATACCACGAATTGTCTTTAGGCCACTATTTGCTGTATATTAGTTTCTCATCCCCGCCCGCATGCTTTTTTAAGAAAATGGCCTTGTTTGCCATTATTATTGCCATTTTTGACCATTATTATAAATTTTGTGATGTCTTCAAAGTGAAATTTGAAAGAAAGACAATTAGAAACGTTCCCAAACCAAATGTTAGTGAAAATACAAAATTTCATAACCAAACTGCAAGTTTTTCCCGCATTACGTACACTTATTAAATATCCAAACTCAGCTATAAAAGTTCTACCGGAAGCCAGGGGCAGGGGAGAAAAACGCCAGACGTTCTGGGAACATAATTATGAAAACATGCTTTCAGTTGCACTTACTGATTTTGTGCTGTTTTTCAGAAAGTTGCTATATATATGCTTAATGCGCACTTTTCCAAAATAAATTTTATGGGAAGGGGAAATCCAGCAAATAATGGCATAATGGTATTGGCCCGCCAGCCCGCATCCACTTTAGGAGAAACTCCGGATGAGAAACTAATATACAACAAATAGTGTACTTTAATACACCATTTACTTGAGGGAGTTTGTTTTCGCCGTCGTCGTCGCGTTGCCGTCCTAAAATCGTAAGGTCTCTAATAACCCCTCCGTGCGATCGTTAAATCACTTGCTGTTAGATGCCTCTAAATATACCCCCTTTAGTTACTGCTTCCCCCTTTCAGAGAGATTACGACATCCAGTCTTGGTTCATTTATTTGTTTGACTTTCACTTAATATATGCGCTTACTACATGTTTCGTCGGTTTTAATATAGCCTAATAGCTCTAAGCAACAAGAAAGAAATTCGATTTTTACATCAAAACGTTTGTATACCCAACCATGCATGTATTAAAGTTGATTGTTTATAGATTCTAATTTCGTACCTTGTCTCTCTATGCACATGAGAGCAATATAAATGTATAGTAGTGCACTCATAGGTGTACGGGATTCATATATCTATCGGAGGAGCTGTGGTCTATATTGCCCGAAAATATTTTATTTATTTTACGATATAAATATACTGTTAAGAAAGCGAAGAAAAACTTGAAATTACGCGTTGACCGACTTCAAGCGATGACGGGGATTATATATGAACCGCTTTTCACGCGAAAAACATTACTCTCTAATAAATTGTATAATATACTTTCTTCTAATATTCTCTTGTGATAGATACATACATACATACATACATACATACTTTATTGTGTTCCCTAAATAGGGATTTTCAACACTGATTTACAAAAAATAAATGTTGTTCTATTTACAAGTTTTAGAATCTAGAATTTAAATTAAGGTAAAAAGGTAAGACATTTGTATAAAGTTTAAACAAGGTAAAATTATCTACTTATATATTTGTTCTAGCATGCTTCGCTTCAGTTCGTTTTTGAAAGTTTTTAGGGAGTCTAACTTTTTGAACTTAATGTCCAAATCATTCCAGAGTGTAACGCCTCTATAATGAAAGGACCTTTGACCTGCAGAAGTTTTGTACAATGGTATTTGCAGTGCTAGTCATGGCTACGTGTATCTCGTTGATGAATGTCAGATCGTTTTGTGAATAAATCGCTCAAATAATGTGGAGCAAGTTCATTGACACATTTGTACATCATAATAGCCTCTCTTAGTAGTAATTGTTCCTTTACTGGGAGCCAGTTAAGTTCGCGTAAGCCCGGCGAAATATGGTCGAACTTTCCAATATTTGTTATTATCCTGCATGCAAAATTTTGTACCAACTGTAGTTTCTTAATGTTGGTAGACGAAGTGTTTGACCAAACCGTTGAACAATAGAACATTTTGTTCATTACAAGTGCCGAGACGATGAGAGTTAAAGCTTCTTTATCGAAACATTTTTTGACTCGGTTTATTTGGCACAGGGAATTCATACATGAGGAAACCAGGTTGGTGATGTGCTGGTCATATGTCAATCGTCGATTGTCATTCCTAGATCTTTGGCAAAGGAGACGGGGGTAATAGTCTCGTTGAGGAAGTTTATGGTCATATCTACGGGAAATTGTTGTAGGTTTTGCCGTGTGCCAATCAGCATGTATTTGGTCTTTCCCGGGTTAATAAGCAATTCATTTTCGGAACAACTGTTTGCGATCAAATACAAGTCTTCCTCAAGTTGTTGCTTTAAACAGTCCACGTTAGCCACAGTGAAAGATAGTAATATCTTGGAGTCGTCCACGTACGATTCAAGTTTACTATGGTGGACTGATGAGGGCAAATCGTTAGTATAAATGCTAAAAAGTAAAGGTGATAAAATTGCACCCTGTGGTACACCATAAGAAACAGGGAGAGGAGTAGACACAGTTGATCCAATTCTGACTGATTGAGTTCTTCCGGTCAAGTAACTCTCAAACCATTTTACAACGCTTGGAGAAGCCCCGACGTTGCTAAGTTTTGTAAGGAGAAAAGTATGATTTACACTGTCGAAAGCTTTAGATAGATCTATTAGAATCAGTGCAGTAACCAATTTCCCATCCATGGCCTTTAGGATAGTATCTCCGGTCAAAAGATTCAATGTTTCGCATGAGTGATGTTTCTTGTTCCCGCTCTGGTGGGTTGACAATTTTTTGTTCTTCATTAGATACGAACCAAATTGATTCAAGGCGACTTTTTCACAAATTTTCGAAAGAAAGGTAAGGAGAGAAAGTGGGCGGTTATTTGATGCTTCCTCGTGGTTTCCATCCTTTAACAAAGGGATAACTTCTGCCTCTTTCCATGCTATAGGGAACGAAGATGACGACAGTGAACAGTTAATGATATCGGTGAGGGGCCCAAGAATTACCGGTAGGCTGTGTTTGATGACACGCATACTCACTTTGTCTTTGCCGGGTGATTTGTTTGACGGCATAGCTAATATGATGTTCCTTATTTCTGAACAAGAGACTGGGGTGAAACTAAATCTATCATTTTCTTCAGGGTAGCTGTTATCTGTGCGATTTACGTCAGAAAGATTCCGAGCTGGATAAACACTAGGATCTTGTATTAGTGTTGAGGCTTTCTGTGCATTAACAAGTGCGGTTTTTGTAAAATTGCGGGCCTCTCTGAAATTAAGCCAATCATAATGATCACGTGTTTTCCTGAAAAGACTGTGGAGCTGGTCTCTTTTGATCATGGATGCTTTTATTTCCGAGGTGATAAATGGGCAAGATTTTCCGCGTACTTTTATGGTCTTTACTGGGGCGTGTTTATCCAATGTATTTAAAAATATTTCATTAAAAATGGTTAGTTTTTCATCAACATTGTCCATTCTGAAAATGGAAACAAGACGATCACGGTTGGATGCCAGATCGATCGCGAACAAATCAGGGTCGTATTTATTGTAGCTGCGGGTAGTGATATAGTTTGGTGGAGATTTGTCGGTTTTAAGTTTTAGTGATACATACACAGGGAAATGATCGCTGATACAGGTTTCTATGACGCCGCTGTTGACTACTAGTCTTGGCGAGGATACGAAAATAACGTCGACGAGGGTCTGACTGGATTCAGTAATTCTTGTTGGTGATTTTATTAACTGGTTAAGGTTGAGTTCTTTTGTCGTCTTGATCAAAGACGCTGATCCAGGTGTGGGCTTAAGCATATCGCAGTTTAGGTCTCCAAGAAGAATGATCAACTTTCCCATCGTCAGAGCATGAACATAATTAGGTTTAAAATATTTTCGAAGCAGTCAAGCGGGCTGTCTGGGGGTCGATAAGAGACACAGACCAACAGTGATTTAGATTTTTTGTGCTGTAATTTGATCCATAATTGATGGAAATTCGTCTCGGAGATATAACTGAGGTCTTTAAGTACAAGAGATTTAATATCTTTTCGTATGTAAGCACATACCCCGCCCCCTTTCTTGTGCAGTCGGTCTAAACGATGTAGCTTATAACCTTCGATTTCTATTTCCTTGTTTGTGACGGAGGTATTTAACCATGTCTCTGATACTGTAAGGACGTCAATTTTGTTAAATTTGGTAAACTTACGTAATTCTAAAAAATGGGCGTTATTTTTCAGAGAGCGGATGTTTAGGTGGACCAGTTTGAGACCTGGAAGGGTACTGAGGCTGTTATCTGACTTTTTTGTTAAATGGGCTGAGGCCGTATCATTAGTGGTTTTCGACGTGAGTGACCACGAGAGTGCGGAAGCGTTTGGAGAGGCAGGGTTGGACAAAGGAACACGAACAAGATTTCTATTTTGCAAGTTATTGTTAACACTAGAAGAATTATTAATGGTTAGTTGATATGATAGTCTCTGACGTGATGGTCTCTGACGTGAAGTGATTCTAACAGGTATTTTCATCATATTGTCTGCTGCTGACTCGTCAAACAGGCCACTGTGTGGAGATGGGCCAACCACTCTAGAGAGTGGTGGCGGTGGGCTGTCCGATACGAAGGAATGACACGACAACGTTTTAAAAAAGGATACCGGCTACAATGGTGCCTTCGAAACCCTAAGGGGTTTGTAACTTGACCGTGTCTAAGACTTGAGGGTCTCGGGGTTGGAAGATGAGGGAACGAAGAATGCTTTAGATTTGACTCGCTGATTGACCTATCCGATCGGGGATTCACCTGGTCAGGGTTAAGGGCATCAAGGCTTAACACGGTTTTTGCATAGGATCGGTCGCAATTCCTACATATGCCTTGCTTCCCACGTTGCTTGAAATGTTGACACCCATCGGATAAATCCTGCTCACGCTGATCTAATTCATTTTCGTCAAAAGTGAGGTTTGCAGAAACATCTTCGATTATACTTAGATCTTCGCATAAGGGCAAATAGTTTAAAACATTCTTAGCCTGAAAAGGCTCGCGGTTCAGGCTTAATGAGTAATCTTTTTTGAAGGAGTTGATTGTAGTCTTAGATTGTTGTGTGGATAATAGGGCATTGTTCTTTATTTCAATGATAACTGTAGGGAAACTTTCCTCAGCGGGCAGGTTATCTACATTAACTGGGGTTGATAATGCACCAGATGGGTGATTTTTTTTAGTTGATCCATCGTGTTGGGGATTTAGATTGTCAGGACTGTTAAAGGACTTCTTATCTTGTAAAGATGGCTTTGAGGGACTTGAAAAGGTTATGGAAGCCGAGTCTTTAATCATCATTTTCTCCTCTAGGTCGGTAATGCGTGACTTTAAATTCAAATTCTCATTTCCTAATCGGCACAGCTCTTGTTTATTTGTGTCAATAATATGATTTTGTTCAGACACTTTAGTCAACAATTTTTCTATTTGCGATTCTATTTTTTCTTTAAATGTAAGGAGTTGTGCCTCGGCTATAGTCGGGATATCATCAGCTCGTTGTTGAAATGGTGTAGAAAAGCTGGCTGTCTGAGCAAAATTCGGCGTGGCTGCGACATTCGCAATATAATATGCGCTATCAATGAAGTCCTCAAGTTCTTCGAGTGACGAAGTGTCAGCAATCGATTCAAACTCCATATCTTTGGCTTGAGTATTGTACGAACAATTGTGAGTTAAAGGGGCCATGTCCTCGAACACACGGCCATTACCAACGATATGTTCGCCTTCGACCGACATTTTTGTAGTTGTTTGGATTAAACTATCCGAGGTCGTATTTGTTTGCTTAATAACGCAATTTGTGTCTAATACGCTCACTAGAAATTCCTTGAAAGATTTGCCTTTCTTTCCATTGAAAGTCAAAGAGTTTTGTTTGCCCGGGTACCAAGTCATAATAAAATCAGAGCTTAAGTTTATTAACTGTTTGGCTTTACCGCCAGGCGACGTCCATTTACCCGTTAATCCGACAACATTTTCGGCAAAAGTCCTTAACGAACAGAGGTCGTTTGTCCATTTGAGACGGATCCCATCATAAACTAGATGACCTTGATTGTTTAACAACTTTATGGAGTTCATATCAATAGTTGCAGGACTAAAATTTTCAAGTTTAGTTGAGGCCATAATTAAACCATCCGCCGCCATGTTGTAAACGCTAATGACGCTAATTGACAAACATGAAATCGTGAAAACATTCGTTGACGTACGTCATGACGTCATACGTAACCGATAGAAAATACGGGAACCACTGAGTATTTTAACAAAATATAAAACAACGGTAACTTCGAAAATAAACATTTTAATATTGTAGCTTTCGACTAAAATTCAGTCATCGTCAGGAAACCATATTTCATATTTTTTAAATTTATAATCATTCCTGATGGTAAGTGGTAACAATATCAGTGTTGTAGACTCGAGTCGTGTGACTTGGACTCGAGTCGGACTCGAGTCGCAATTTTTGTGACTTGACTTGTTAAATTAAAGAGACTGATGACTTGTGACTTGACTTGGAGAAAATGACTTGTGACTTGACTTGGACTTGCAAATGATTTGTTACCAACGCAAGTCAAACGTAAATATCTAGTGAAAATCAAGTTTTCCAAAATCTTTGTGTTGATCGATCGATCGTTTTAGTACATATCAATGACATCGACAGAATTTGTGCCGGCGTATTTTCTGACAAAGCGGTTTTTTTCGCGATTTCGTGGTAAAATTTCTGACATAAAATAACGACGCCATATTTACATATTTTGCCGTTTTGCGTGGGAAAACATGGCCACATGTGGCGATAAAATGACTTGTGACTTGACTTGAATTGACTTGCCACTCGGAATGACTTGTGACTTGACTTGGACTTGCAGGAAATGGCTTGTGACTTGACTTGCAACATAGGACTCGTTAACAACTCTGAACCATATGAGTCATGAATTTTAGTGATGGAATTTTATAGGAATTTTACTTGTAAGTTGTGACGTTGTAACTGAAGATTTAAGGGCTTAGTGATTTCGTGTGCTTGGAAAACGTGATTTACATTACGAAACAAGAGAAGATATCGATTTATTATTTAAGCCCATTTTTGGGCGAATTTGTTCGCGCGAAGCGAAAACCAAATTTCGGCAATGTGATTGGTCAGCGAAAAAATTCGCCGCGAAAAAGTTGGATCAGTTCCTACTCTTTTACTTGTCGCTTCGCGCGAACAAATTCGCCAAGTGGAAAACGTCATTCTAGTGATTGTCATTCTACTTCCTGTTAAATATTTAAATATTTGTTAAAACTCAGTGTTTCCCGTAATTTTTACCGATTACGTATGACGTAATTGACATCAACGAATGTTTTCACGATTTCATATTTGTCAATAGAGCGCAACCACCCCCCCCCCCCACCCCTCCCGCCCCGCTTCGGTAAATTTAGTTCTACAGCAAAGCCTTGCAAAGTCTCTATTGCGCTATTCGTCGACTATTCGTACTATTCGTCGCCAATTCGCGGACTATTCGTACTATTCGTCGACTATTCGCGGACTATTCGTACTATTCGTCGACTATTCGCGGACTATTCGTACTATTCGTCGACTATTCGCACTATTCGCTTTACTATTCTAGTTTTATCAATTGCCTGCATTGTTAGGATCAATCACATTCATATACTTCATCCCAAGACAGGCTTTCCAATGCAGAATTATAGAGAACAGCAACGTTACTTTCATTAGAAAATTGCATAATTTGAAATCACTATATTTCAATTCAGTTTCATGTATAAACATTTAATTTTGCAAAACGTATGTGGTTGAATCTTACAACTTGGAAATTGATAATTTTCTAATTACAAGTGATAATTTGGGGGTTTTTTTTCAATTTGAAATATAAAAATAATAAAATGATCTTGTCACCATGAGAACCACGTCGAATACGTCATGTCAGAAAAATATAGTTGTTTTGCTAGCATGCAAGGCAAGGAATTTCTACATGCATGTTTTTCTATTAAAAGTCGTATCTTAACATTTAGCTTATTATCTGCTTGTGCACAAGGACACCGACACGAGACTATGGAAATTTCTCTTCTGCACTAGAGTGCAGGGGAGGGAGCTAATTATGCAATAGACCTAACTAGCCGACTCTCTGTTCGTGAAGATCCAACTAAGAATCTGTTTGTGGGAAATGCCGCACAATGCGGCAATTTTGTAGCTTATTAACTGGAACGTGTTCCTACCATTTTTCTTATTTGAACATCGTTTTCTTAATGATTTTATGTTTTAAAGTTTATTCGTTCACTGCAACCAGGTATATCAATCATGTTTCGCTCGCTACTCTGGTTTAAATAAATTATTACAAAGCCCAGTCGAATTGTAATCATGAAGACCCAACGTTTCGACACTTCAGTCTAGTGTCTTCATCAGGGGTGATCTAAAATTGCAATCGTGGCTTCTTAAATACCCAAGGGATGACGTCACCTGCCAATGAGATGCATATATTCCTCTGGCAAATAGACACCGCCATCCCTATTCAAAGCATGATTACCCCTTGGGTATTTAAGAAGCCACGATTGCAATTTTAGATCACCCCTGATGAAGACAGTAGACTGGAGTGTCGAAACGTTGGGTCTTGATTACAATTCGACTGGGCTTTGTAATCATTTATTTAAACCAGAGCAGCGAGCGAAACATGATTTTATGTTGTTTAATCAGAGATCTAGGGCTTATCTCTAAATGATAATCCGGCCTTTCCCGCGTAGTTAATTTAACGTTTATGTCGCAGACTGTAATGTATTTAAGATTCAAAATTAATAAAATGGTTGTGACAATCCAATACTC